TCTGACCCCTTGCCGTCTTCCTAAGTACCTTGCACTGGACCTGGACCTTCCACACTCCTTAACCCACGGCCACGCCTGCTGGGGAGGATGGGATCTGTAGTCCAGCCCTCCTGGAAGGAGGCTGGGCTGATCTTGCAGCAGAAAAGGGGGGGGGGAGAGCAGCCCCGCTTGGTCACGTGACGTACCCAGCATGCACACCGGTTTTACCAACTCAACGGGCAGGGGGTGGGCGGGGGTGTCCAGCCGACCTCACCCCGCGTGGGAGGGGGGACCGACGACGGCAGGCGCGCAGCCGCCCCCGCAGCGGGGAGCAGGCCTTCCTCCGCGACCCTCGCCCCCCGCTCCTCCTCCTCCTCCCGGAGCCCCCGCGAACCTGCCGCTTATTCATCCGCCGAACATCGTCCAGAAAGTCCAGCGACAGCATCCCGGCGGTCAAAGTGGCTGCAGCCGGGAGCCCCGACCGTCTCACACTTCCGCTTCCGGCCGCCGACACCAATATCCGGCCAAGCTGGTGGAGAGGGTGGGAGGTGGAACGTAAGATCTCGAGGCCCGTCTAGACCAGCCCGTGTTGAGGCCTGCCGGGGGGACGACGACGACGACGACGACGTCACTTCCGGTTCTGCACGCGGAGTAGAGTGTGAGCTGGGGGGAAAGAGCGGCTTTTTGGGGGGAGGGGTTAAGGAGGGTTTGATGCGAAGTCCTCCCGGCTATTTTTTTTTTTTTTTGGCCTTTAATCTGAAAATCGGATTTCAAATGAAAGGAAGTTTTTTATTTATTTATTTTTTTGCACATTTCTCGGCGGACCTGGCGTGCCTTGTTGCAATGCAATAAGATTCCCCTTGCAAATTCCTAACGAATCCAGTTTCAAGTGTCTTTTAAGAGAAAGGTGAAAATCTCCTTTGAATGATAGGTGGCAATCTTGGTGACTTTAGGAAGAGCCTTCTTAGTTAGAATTGGAAAGTAGTCTGTCACTGCCTGATTTGTTTTGTTTTTCAACCTCCCAGAGGTGTGTTGATTTAAAAAAAAAAAAAAACTTTGGGAACGTTTAAAAACCATGGACTAAAATTCGCACAATTCCCCAGCCAGTCATTGCTGTGTCCCTATGTCCAGAGCTGGTGAAAATTTGATTGGCAAAACAATTTTGCGGTTATTTTGAACTGAGCAACTGCATTCCCACTCTGGCTAGTAATACTATTACTAAATTTGCAGATGATACAGTACCTACCGACATGAAGTGCTTTTGTGGTGTGGAGACAATAACTTGGTCCTCAACACCAATAAAACCAAGGAGCTTATAGTAGATTATAGAAGGAACAGAACAGAAACCCAGCCCTTGCTTATCCATGGAGATGGAGTGGAGCAAGTGGCCAGTTTTAAGTTTCTGGGTGCTACCATAAAAGAGGACCTGACCTGGGGTGCTCACATTGCAGCCCTGGTCAAAAGGGCCCAGCAGAGATTATACTACCTGAGACTTCTCAGGAAACAAGAACTGAATGAAAAACTGCTGGTGACCTACCGCTGTACCAGAGGTGGTATTCAGCAGGTTCTGACCAGTTCTGGAGAACTGGTAGCGGAAATTTTGAGTAGTTCAGAGAACCGGCAAATACCAACTCTGACTGGAGATTTTAAAATATCCTTCCCCTGCCACGCCCACAGAACCGGTAGTAAAAAAAAATTGAATCCCACCACTGCGCTGTACCATAGAGAGTATCTTAACTTACTGCACCTCTGTATGATTTGCCAATTGCACAGTGGCAGATGGGACAGCACTCCAGAGGGTTAACATCATTGCACAGAGGATCATGGGTTGCCCTCTCCCCTCTTTGGAAGAGCTTTATAGCTCCTGCTGCCTTAAGAAAGTTCTCAAAGATCCATCTCATCCTGGGCACCCCTTTTTTCGAACTATTAGCATCTAGCAGACGGTACAGTATAATAAAAACAAGTACAAATGGGCTGAAAAACAGCTTCTAAGTGCAGTAGCTCTTTTGGATTCTGCTGTATAGTGCAGTGTTAGTGCGGTGTTGCGGGTTTTTGGTCCAATGTGTGGAGTGTGAAGGATGTGTGTTTGTGTTTATTTTCATGATCATGATGTGCACTGAAGGTGGTGTTTGATTTCGTTGTACGAGGTGCAATGACAAGAAAGTAAACTAAACTAAAGCAACTGATTGGACATTGTATTGTAATTATTAGAAGGGTTTCTTTTTAAAATGCTTTCTTTCACTTCATGCTTTGAAGGAAAAGAATGAATTCATCTCTCCTCCCTCCAAATCCAGACCTGATCTTGTGCAGTACGCTTTTCCTTCAGTCTTGCCAAGATGAACATGAAGGAGTGGCAGAATCTTATCTAACTGCAACCAGGTGGTAATCTGGAGAAGATTACTGTATGTAGGCTTTTTAGTAATAATGCACTTAAGTGTGGATCTGGTTTTTGTGCCTGACACAATGGTGACCTTCTACCGCTGCATCATAGAGTATCTTAACTTACTGCACCTCTGTAGGATTTGCCAATTGCACAGTGGCAGATAAGACAGCGCTCCAGAAGGTTAACGTCATTGCCCAGAAGATCATTGGTTGCCCTCTCCCCTCTTTGGAAGAGCTTTATAGCTCCTGTTGCCTTAAGAAAGTTCAAAACATCCTCAAAGATCCATCTCATCCTGGGCACCCCCTTTTTTGAACTATTACCATCTGGCACAGGATAATAAAAACAAGGACAAATAGGCTGAAAAACAGCTTCTATCCCAGGGCAGTAGCTCGGCTGAATTCTACTGTATAGTGCAATATTAATGCAAAATCAATAGTTTTCAATTCAATTGTATAGAATGTGAAGGATGTGTGTTTTATTTTCGTAGTCATAATGTACACTGAGGATGGTATTTAATTTCATTGTACGAGGTGCAATGACAATAAACTAAAATCTTAGTTATTAAAAGATGACCAGCCCTGTGGTTATTTCCCCCATCTTCCTGCTTCAGCAATATTTATACCCCTATGCAAATGTGACCAGTTGATGGATTGTCAAGTAATATTCACTTTGCTCTTTTTTTTCCACAACACATACACATGTTCACTCAAGCGTTCACATAAGTCAGCGAAGATAGAATGGATTCTCTTGTGGTTGACTGTCATGTGAATGCAGGGTGCGGGCAGTATCTACTTCAGGGACGTAGCTCTTGTGAAAGGCTACCCAGGTAGTTCTCAACTTAGGACCAAAACCGAGCCCAAAGTTCCTGTGGCTAAGGGAGACAGTTGAGTTTCGCCCTATGTTATATCCTTTCATCGTTCCTAAGTGAATCGTTGCAGTTGTTCAGTTAGGAATACGGTTGTTAAGTGAATCTGGCATTGGTGGTTGCAAAATCTCCAAGACATGGCAACAGGGAGTTGTCAAGCATCTGAATTTGGATCACCTGACTGTAGGGATGCGGCAACAGTCACCATTGTGAAAAACGGTTGTAAGTCACCCCTTTTCAGTGCTGTTGTAACTTTGGTTGCTAAGCCGAGAATTACCTGTATTCTGCATTACAGCCTCTAAGCCAGGGGTGTCAAACTCAATTCCAATGGGGACCACTCGTATCGGGGGCACCTGTGGTGGTCCAAGCGCTCTGCCAGACAAAATGGGCTCCCGAGCTCCGTTTTTGGCTGCAACGGCCTCCTGCAACCCTCTGCCAGCGAAAACTGTTTTCATTGGCAGAGGCAGCGCAGTCCGGTCCTTTGCTGTTTCTAGGGCGGCTCCGTGGGCCAAATCTCAGTACGCCACGGGCCAGATCCACCCTACAGGCCTTGAGTTTGACACCCCTGCTCTAAACACTGAGTGTTGTGGCCTGCCAGCGGCCAGCTGGGGAGGAACATGGGCCAGTCCTGGAGTCTGGGGAAGGCTCTGACGAGTGCTCTGCATCGGAGGCAGAGATGGAGCCAGGGCCGTCCGACAGTTATCAGCTGCCTTTGGAATCGGAGATCAGTCGGGCAGAAGAACAGCTGGAGCCTATTCCCAATGTGCACATGCGCAGAGCTACCAGGAGAAGGGAGCAGTTAAGGAACAAGGGTCGATTCGGGAGTAAAGGTGAACAGTGAATGCCCGCTCCCCAATAGGGAATACAGAGGAGCAAAAGGGGAACGGTGTGTGCAGGAGACAATTAGTACATTTCATTAGGGTGAAGATTTGTTTGCGACTCCTTGCCAATTATTTTCTGGTACATGGAAGCTATCGGCCTGGCAACTCTCCAAGCCTGATAAGGTCTGTGATTGTAATTCACTCTTGAAAGACTGTTTGCTGGGGACTTTGCTGGACGTGAACGAGAGGAATTCACATTAGCCTAAATAAAAGGGGACGAGGAGTCTTGCTTCATGATTTCGTGAAGCTGAGGTCAGAACACTGAGATCAAGGTGAACTACGCTACTTGAGGCTCCCTTACGGATGTTCAGCATCGGGTCTGAAAGGTTCCTGTGGATTTGGGAAAGCTGCAAGGTCAGAGAAGGGAGGTTGGAAAGCCACTCCATTATTAGATGGTTTTATTTGAAATACTTTGAAGTAAACATTATAGCAAGGCACAGAGGCCACTGCAGATTAAATAGATATGTGATGGCTTGGGAGGAGTGCCCTCCCTTGCCCCCCTGCTATTGTTAACTATAGCTAGGCTAACTTGTAAAACATTCCCTATAGACTAAAATGTACACGGTATCAAAAAATACAAAGGGTTTTATCAAAACACGTCCGGACGAGAAAGTGAGCAAATTCAAATGGCAAGTATGATAAATAGGGTACTTTTTTTTTTCCTTTTTAAATTATTTATAGTAAACAATGAGCAGGGTATCCGACTTGAAACATAACAACCGTATATTAAAACAAACGAACGAACAAACGGAAAGTAAATATGGCAACGAAGCGTGAGGGGGAAAAAAAGCACATGGGGCAGGGCGGGAGTGGGGTGGAAGCCACAGACGGGGGGATGAGTCAAGGTTGAAGGGAGGAAAGCAATCTCCAATCGATGGGGGGTGGGTGGGGGGGCAACCAAGACCAAAAAGAACAACCTGGAAAGGGGTGAGGAGAGAAAGGGTGTGCTTTGGAAGAGCAGGTGCACGTGAGGAAGGATCCAGATTGCGATGCCACGCTCCTCATGGAATAAACTTCATCAGCCCCATATTCTTGAATTTTCTGAACCGACAAGCAGGGGACGTTCTGAAGGGTAGAGGTGAGCAACTACGGCGAGGTTGAGACCCGCGGACTTCCAACTCCCAGCCATACTAGAAGGAAGATAAAGCAAGCCAATCTGACCCTCTCCCGGCCCTCGGTATCTTTCAACCAGGACTGGGAGCAGCTCTGATCATCGACAGAACAGGGGAGTGGATCAACGCCGCTGTCCGATCTGAGGAAGAGGGGGTACTAACCATGGAAGAGACTGCCCAAAGATGCGGAAGTGCAAGCCTCACATTTCCCCACCCCTGTCCTTATTCTTTCTTACGAGGGATGTCAATCTTTACCTGGGCAGGTTTAAAATACCTGTGCCTCCAACTTTTATGGGAAGTCCTAGGTGCAAGAGAGAAGGGTGTCTGAGAATCCACCGCCATGTGTGACCAATACTTCCAGGCATGTGTGTGTGTGTGTGTGTGTGTGTGTGTGTGTGTAAAAGGAGGGGACGAATACTCAAAGCAGATATGCAACTGATTTTCCCCTGCAACAAAGATTAAGTAATGTTTTCTCAAAAATGAAATAAAAAAAGAAAGAAAGAAACACCTGCTACTGAATAGTGCTGGAAATGTGTCTTCTAGGAGAAAGAAAAAAAAGCAGGTTTCATTCAGTGTCTGAACGGTAATTTTTCAGGCTTGGGGGACTTTTGTTTTAAAAGGAAAGAACCGTCAGTGAGTGGTGGTATGGCCAGAAGCTTCCTGGCATCCCGGAGCTAAGGGGGAGTGGGAGAAAGGACTGTATTCTTAATTTAAAATCTGAGCTAACAGGCAAAAGGCCTTGGGCAGCAGGTGAATGCTTCGGTTTTTTGCTGGGGAAAAGCTTGCCGTGGTTATCCTATATGCCAGTCTTTCTCAATCTTGGCCGCTTTTAAGAGGTTGTGGACTTCAACTTCCAGAACTTTAGGAGTTGAAGTCCACTTCTCTTAAAGCGGCCAAGATTGAGAAAGAATGTTCTAATTTCTCTGTATCTCTCTCTCTCGTTTCCCCTTCCATGACTCATCTAGTGTTAGGGAGTTGGTGGCTCTGCTAATTTCTCTTCCCAATCAAAAGGAACTGAACCGTACGCCCATCAAAGGGAACAACCTCCCTCTCTCCCTCCCTCCTTCAAGCAAGGTTTCTGGGGCAGCTGAGCGGACTCTTAAATAGAAGGAGACTTTGTGGGTTTGTTCTGAGAACTGGCTTTCTCTTTGCTGCAGGGCGTGGGGTTGCGCTCCGAGTCTCTGTTCTTGGAAGGATCTCCTTCTGCCCTGCTGTGGCTGGCCTCGCCGTTGGCTTCGCCCAGTCCATTCTCTCTCGTTTCCATTTCCGGAATCCTTTTTGCACTCTCTTGTTCTGGCTCTTCTTCTTCTTCTTCCTCCTCCTCCTCCTCCTCTTCTTCTTCCGGATCTTTGACTTTATGAACGATAAAGAGGTGCCTGTTCAAAGACAGGTGTGACGTGTAACACAAGCCGCAGAGCAGGCACTGGAAAGTGGAACTGTCTGACTTGTGTCGAGGTATGTGTTCCAGAAATTCAGTCTCGGCGGCTGTCGCAAAGCCGCACTTTGCACATTTCCAGCGGGCTGCTTTCAGTTTCTTTGCTGGCGGATCGTCTGATCCGGATGCGGCCGCTTCCACTGGACTCGGACCATCGGCGGTTACTCTCTTTGGAGATTTTGTCTGCAAAACAAAGCCGTGCGCTTATCTTACCCATCAGCCCACTCTCCGAACGAGGCCCGCTAAGAGCAATAAGAACCTTATCTCTTCCTCTTCCTCGCACCCCATTCCCAAGCTGTCCATGGCACCCTAAGCCAGGGGTGTCAAACTCAAGGCCTGCAGGCCGAATCCGGCCCATGGGATGCTTAGATCTGGCCCACGGTGCCTCTGCCAGCGAAAACGGGTCCTGAGCTCCGTTTTTGGCTGGGACATCCTCCTGCAGCCCTCTGCC